GCTCCTGTGCCAGTCAACAGTTTATAAATACAGCAGGAGAGATAACTGCTGTGTATGCTCCACGAGGAGGAATTCAAACTGGGCTCCAGAAGTAGCAGCATATTTTTAAGTTAGAAGAGAGTGAGAAAGCGTAAATGAGGGAACAGAAGGTTTCTATAACTCTGTATGGAGGCTTTTTGTGCACGGCTGGAGCAGCCGGGGGTTGTCAGTCTCTGAGAATAATTGTGAAGAGAATTGAATGTAGAATAAAGGACTTGGGGTCTGAATGTCCTTCCGTTTGCACCCGCGAGTTTCCTGGAAGTCAAAGAGTTTACACTGATTTAAAACAAATATGTGTAAAAGCAGATGAGGTTTATGACACATTGGATAAGAAAAGGGAAACACCAGAACTACCTTCCCCCCAACACTTCTCCCAGCCATAAGGGACAGAGAGGCACATGGGTGAGTTTCAAGAAATGTGCCATGAACATGGTCGAACAAGGAAGCTCAAACCATCTTTAGGGATAATAGTCTGCATTTGAAGATTTCCATCAAGGTTCTATTATTTACTCCACATGCCAAATTGTAGCTAGCCCAGAGGTTTAAAAGCTAACTGAATAAAATTACTCCTGAAGCTCAATCTCATGTTTACTTTCTGTTTGATTTTACTTGCTTTTTGGTTCTGTTTTGATTGAAATGCAGATGCAAAAAGAAAACTTTTAGTGTAAGAAGAGAACTTCTAGTTCTTCTTTAGAAGAGCCGAAGACATCACTGAGAGCTGTTTCTGGCAGAAAATGTGAGGCTAAGGATACTTGTCTTCTAGGTTCAGCTGTGCCATTGAAAAAGAAAACCAACATCAATTTTTTTTTCCTTTCCTCATCACCACATACAAGTTTTCAAGCCTTGTGGTTGGAACTGCTCAAGTAAGCGCTGTTTATGACAATTCAGCTATGGACAGCTACATCAGCAATACCTGTTCTTCAAACTCTCTGAGGTAAATGTAACCTTATTCTGTCTGAAGCTGATTATGGTAAGCAAAGACAGGCTTCCCTGCTGGCAGGTGTAACAGGTGGTGAAAGGAGGGGTACTGAGTTCAGTGAAGTGTAACTACTTACACTGGCCCTACATACATTAAGAATGTGCCTCTTATTGTATCTTCAGTGGCAAAATTATATTGGAAGAGCATTAGAGGACAATTTATTATTTAGAAAATAAGTATCCAGAGTTCGTGGAACATCAGTCTGCTGCCTGAGAGGAGCAATCTGTCATATGTAATAGTCTCTATGTATATGCATGAGAAGAGGAAGATCAGTAACTAGATAAGCAATACTAACACTTTATCCACATTTCTGATTTTGACTTTGAATGTTTTTTAAGTTCACAAAGTTGAGAACCAGAGAGGTATTTCTGAAGCACCATTTATGTTTTTGGTGCTCCAAACTGAATCTATCATTTAAAATATCAAAGCTTGTAATCCAATTTCAGCTATAAAATCAGATGCAGATTTTTAACTCTGGACTTGACAATTAGGAACTATATTAATTGTTAATAAAACACAATATTTGGTCAGTGTTGAAGTGTTCAATTAATGCATAGGTACAGCAGGAAAGGAGAAGCATATTTGGTGAAATGTATTCTCTAGAACAGCAAAATACATTAACTTCAGATGGTTTCTCTACTGACTTCTTTTATTTCCCAAATAGAGAAGAATTACAATTTTAGCTCCTTGATCTGCTGAAGAGATTAAAGTCATTATTCAAAATTAATAATGAAGTATTTATGACTGTAAGGATGCCCAGAGAGAAATGAGATTTCCACTACATGATTTAGCAGCTGTAGCATCCTCTTTGTTTTAACATGAAGCTCAGCGAGGTACCATCAGAGGACACCATCACCAGTATAACTGGGTGCTTTGGATTTTCACCCTGAGTCACCAAAGTCACAGTAGGATTTCATTTTGAGCCTCAGAGAGAGTAACATTAAGCCCTCTGTGAGGAGGGAAGCTATTGCAGCTGTTGACTTCAGTGGGAGTTGGGTTAGGTCTTGATTTATTCTGGAGGTGTGCAGTGCAAATAGAAAGGCAGCAGATTCAAAGACATCTGCAAAGACAAGCAGCTGAATCTAGGATACTTAAAATGGAGAGTTTCTGAAAAATTGGGGTGTAGGAAGGTGGGAAGAGCTTCCCAGCAGAGAAACACTGAGACATGTTTCAGTGATGACAGTCTGCACTGAAAGAACAGGGAAATTTAAAGCAGAGATTTTCTTGTATCAGTTCAACTTGGATCTTGAGGTAGAATAGCTATGTCCCGGCTGTACAATGTGTGGTGCTACTGCTACAGGTCTCTGCTTGCTCCAAAATCTCTGCACCACATTTCATTATGTTGTCACTACATGCTGTGGGCCTCTAATATTATTGGTATTTTGGTGCCTCTTGAACCAAAAATTAAAATTCTTCAGTCTTTCTTTACTATTGCTCTCAACTGTTTTCGCTGTTTGCCTTATTCTGATTTCTTTTCTTACCTTTCAACTGACAGTTCTGCTAAAATTTATAATATTGGCAATAAATCCCCCCCTCAATTAAAAATGAGGTTTTGTTCTAGACTTTTTATATGATCAAAAAATAAAAAAATCATGTAAAAATTATAGTTTTGTGGGGAATGTTTTGTAAGAAGTGAGAGTGACTGGCAAAGGATGAGCTTTTTTTAAATTGGAAGACATCATATTTTCAGCTACTTAAAAGGCCAGTGCATGGGGATATTTTTTTCCTTCTTCCTGAATCTAAAAAAAAAAAAAAATTCAAAGGGATTGAAGATTGTGCTCTAGTTTGGGTTTTTTTCTTCATTATAAAAGAAACTGACAGAAAACAGAACACCATTTAAAAATATTTTCTCTAATAAAAAAAAATAAAATAGAGGCTTTGATTTTGGTGGGGGCTTAGGAAGAGAAGGAAACTCTTAACATCTGATTGTATCTTTTTTTTTTTTTTTTTTTAATCAACAACACAAACTTTTATGTTTCTAGTAGCAAAAACAAATGGAAAAAAATCAAAGTAAAAGAAATTATTCCTCTTGGTTTTTACAACATATTACTCCCCAACTCAACATAAAAACACACTGTCCATTCTTGGTTCATTAATCATCCATTCTTCGCTTTGATTTTAAGCTGGTTTATTTCCTTTGTATAAATAATATTTGCACTACTGATGCAAATTTACAATCAAATAGCTCATCTTCTCTGCACAGATCTGTAAGTGGGAGCACAACTCAAGGAGCTTTCTACCTACTGTGCTCTCCTCTATGGTTGGCAGAGTTTAACTCCTGCACTCTCAGTCTCCACAGCAAATTATGAACACACCTATGAAGATGAAGAATTCCTCTATAGCATTTTATTTCTCTTTCCATTAGCAAAAAGCTGGACACATAAACTGTGATTTATCATTTCTCTTCAGCTCTGGGTAAGAAAGTATTTTACTGAGCATTTTAACTCTACAAAATAGGACTAAAATGAATTTAGGAGTAGAATGAAGTAGATATAGACAGTGAATGATATTAAAGGATAGGACAGGCGGTCCCTGACACTAAAGCCTTATGAGAGTAAATGACTGGAGGTATAATTCCCCTAGTGGTTGTGTACTAACCACAACATAGGGCTGAATTACTAGGCTTAGACTTCCTGAGTGAGCAAAGATGTTTCTTCCTCTTCTCCAACAGAAGTACAGATATTTTCAGACATATCGAGTAGCAACTGCGATGTTCCTTGCTTCCCCCAGCCAAATCATTGCTGAAGCTATGCTAGGACTATTATGCAGAAGGAACTACTTGGGCCTGTTGTAATAATAAATTCTAGGTCAATTAAATTCACACCTTTGGAGACATGCCTTGCAATTTCTGGAGAATCAAACACTTTCACAGGAGACTTAGCAGCAAGTCACTAGTTAACTGCTGAGACTGTATAATTTTGGGTCAAGGAAGAATAATTCAGGGCATCTTTTGATTCCTGAAACTGGGTTGAGTTCACTTTGAAATTGGCCTATATTTCATTCACATGTAAAACTCACGCCACAATCCCCCTGAACTACATTCAACTTCTATAGCTTGATGTCATTTTAATTCCTGGCAGCAGACGGCTTTTCCCACCTTTTGCAGTGATGAGCTAAGGTGCATTCAGAAGTTTGGGAAACTGAGATCAAGATTTCCAGGCTTATACTTTCTAAATCTTTTTTCGTTTGTTTGTTTTAAGGATCTCCTGTCCTTGTTGACTGACTCATTCCTGTACAAGGTGCACATACATTATGGAAAATGGTGAAACTATCAAAGCCTTCAAACAAAACCTGACGCATACCTCAGGAAAAGATCAACCAGCTGCAACATTTTGGGTAAACAATAAAAATGTTTTGAGAAGGGAAGGGGATGAACTGAGTCAAATAGAAGAAATTCTTGCATTTAACTCCTTCTTTAGCCTTACTGTATGTGAAACTTAATTCCTTGACTGATGCTCACACATGCATATACATATTATATGTACACTGTGTGTTAATTTTGGCATTAAGATCTTTTCTTTATGGGTGAGAATTTGATGTTTAAATATAATTTAGGAAGGAGAAAAATGATAACAAAATATTTGCTCTACAAGTCGATCAGAAGATTCCTGTAATACGTAGAAAAGCAGGAAT